CCAGGAGGCCGGTATTCTCCCAAACACTTTCAGTGAGCACTGTTTAGTATACTGTGTGCGCAAAATAAAGGCTATTAAATCCACTCCCAAGGTTAAAATACCTAGGTCCTTCAAAAAATTTAATCTTGAATCCTTTCTAAAGGACATCAAGAACCTCCCATGGCAAGGATTAAACATTATCCCAGATCTAGACTGTGCTGTTGAATTTTCAGTCTGAATTTTGGAATTTGCATTCCCCGCTGCATAATGTGAGGGTAAAAAGAGCACATGAACTGGATCACAGCTGACCTCATCTAAATGTACCAGTTGCGGGATTCTTTGTGGTCAAAGTTTAAGCGTACTGGCTCTATGAATGATCACCGTGCATATAGACAATGGTGAAATATATGCACAAAATAGACAAAATTGGCCAAGGCCCAATATTTCTGTGAAAATCTGAACAATAACATCTCAAACCCTAGAAACTTTTGGAAAGTCATAAATAAACTACAAACTCCCCCCAATCCACTCCCAACCCTCCACTGTCAAAGTGGATAGCCAAACCCTGCAACTTCCCTTAGATGTAGCAAATGCCTTTAACAATTATTTTGTCCGATGCTCTACTGCCCTGATTGCCAAGCTAATAAATGACACGCATCCTGAAACTACAAATGTGGATCAGGCCCCACTAAATTTGCAAAGTCCCAATATAGACAAGTTCATTTTTAGACCTGTACCTGTTAGTGTCATTGAAAAACATCTTAATAATCTAAAAATGAAAAACCAGTCCGGATCAAATCCCAGCAATGCTGTTGAAGCTCAGTGCGCCGGCAATTGCTAAGGCCTTTGACACAGTAGACCATGTAATTCTACTACACAAACTCAAAAACTCAGGTATTGGTGATCGTTCGCTAAACTGGTTTAGATCGTATGTATCGGATCATTCGCAATATGTGTCCATTTCTGACAGCGACTCCCTCCCCCTCCCAGTCACGTGTGGTGTTCCCCAAGGTTCCATTCTCGGCCCCCTACTATTAACATTATTTATAAATGATCTGCCTAATGTCTGCAAATACTCAAATGTACACATGTACGCAGATGACCCGGTAATCTATGAGAGCAATTCCAATCTACCGCGGCTTGAGGCTGTGCTCCAAGACCAGTTTACAGAGGTAGAAAAGTGGATCGCAAAAAACAAACTCTTCCTGAACACTGACAAAACTGTCACAATGATCTTTGGAACAGTACCTAAATTACACAAATTACACAATTCCCACCTTTCCATCAAAACAAATTCAAATGGCACACTGACCACAGTCCACTCTTTCAGATACTTGGGTATGATGTTAGACCCCAATCTATCTTTTGGCCTGCACATAGAAAAGCTTGCATCTAAACTTTATCCAAAACTAGGTGCCCTGTACAGAAACATATCCTGCCTAAGCTCTACAGTAAAGGAAAAGATTGTACTGCAAATGCTGATGCCAATCATTGATTATGGGGATGTAGTATATGCATCTGCATCGCAATCCCACATTAATAAACTCAACACATTGTATAACTCGTTCTGCCGATTTGCGCTACAATGTAATTACAGGACTCACCATTGTGACATGCTAAAAGAACTAAACTGGCTGTCGCTGGAATCCAGACGCACCTTTCATCTTTCCAGCCTTGTGTTTAAGAGCTTTTCTGGGAAACTCCCACCCTACCTGAACACAATGCTTTCCTCAGCTGTTCCCACTTCCTATAACCTCCGATCCAGTACCAACACTTTACTTAGTCTACCTCAATACAAAAAGAAAGCAGCCTGATCCTCCTTCTCCTACAGAGCACCGCAATTGTGGAACGACCTCACGTACAATTTAAAATCTTCCTTAACCCTAAAGTACTTTAAGAGATCCCTCTCTACATACCTCAAAACAGAATGCACCTGTCAATAAATTTTTTATTTATTGTGTATTAATATTGTTTTTGTATTTTATTGTACCCTAATTGTAACAATGCAATGATTTGTGGACCCAGGACATACTTGAAAACTAGAGAAATCTCAATGTATCTTTCCTGGTAAAATATTTTATAAATAAATAAATAATTGCAATCTTTATTGTTATTTAAGTATTTCTCAAAAAGATGGCGAAGAATCACCTCTTCCTAGCACCCCGGCTAGAATTGATACACCTTCAAGCAGAGGAGATGTTGCTAGTCCAGCAGCAATGAGATCCTGGACAATCACACACATTACCACCGACCTAAGGAGGCGACAAATCCCCTACCCTGCCTCAGCAAGGAAAGCAGAGTTATTCAAACTCCTCCACACATCAACGGACAACACGGAGGCAGGGGAAGGCCCAGCAACACCAACTCAGGTGACACCCAGGCCATGCTAGCCTCACTCATAAACTCATGAGCCACAAAATTTACGACCGACTGGCAATCTCGAGTCGGTCACCACAACCCTCAAAAGGCTGGGCCTCACGCTACTGTACAACCAACACCAACCGAAACTCGGTTACCTGGTACAATCAATTCTTATGACACACAAGACGTTAACCCTGCACATATGATCCCAGCACATTGGGGAAACAAGGTATACATATGTATGACGATGTAACTGTGATGGTCAGATCCAGGGATTGTAGGTAAATTGGGAACTAACCATGCCTTGGTTGTGTTGGCATTTGGAATATGTAGAGAGGTTTATTTGTGAAGGTACCCATACAGAAGGGATTTTGTCCCAAACAAACGGATGAGCACTCTCAGGCTCCAGGTACCAGCATCTCTGAACTACCAGAGACAATTGCTATGAGTAGTTGCATTGCATATAGACTGTTGCATATTTGTTCAAATGGTTCAGGGCACATGATAAACAATGTGTCCCAATACAACTTACAAAAAACATACTCACCATCTGTACACACCAATGCATTTTCAACACTACTGACTCATCACCCTTCCAGACTTGTAGTAGATTTACTAAAGCTCTGGAGCTTCAAAGGGCTCCCATACAGGTATCATAAATACACATTCAAGGAATATAGCATGCCCTCACTTACAGTCAGCACAACAGAACCATCGGCTGTAAACACACTCATAGCCAAGATATGTAGAGGGGTTTTTACTTAGGTTTTCCAATCTCCACCATTTACAGCATGGCGCCAAACACAAACACATTGGTATTGTCACAAGGAAATCGTCCCTTAAACAAAGACTAACCATTGACTTATTGGCACCACACACCTCCGCTACCCCAAGTCTCAACTCCCTCATACCCTCTGAGGAGTTTCCTTACTATACAACACCATTGCTCTACCTTTACAGCTATCACTCAAGCATGGGTTGAAGCTTGGTTAAGTAAGACCAATATCATCAACGCTGTAAACGACTACCATCTACCCTACACACTGGCACTTACATGGCAAATGGGCAATCCTTTCCCCGCTCAACTGTCGGGCTACAGATTAGCCTACTATCGATATCTGCAGATACTGTGTGCTGGTTATGATAACATATCCAGAGGCCTTATAGTCATAAACTATCTAGAAGACTTCTTGTTGATCAAAGATAACATTTTTGTCACTAGAAGCCTCACGGCAGCTTAGTCTGGTTGACCACTTGGCCGTCCCAGTACCCCATAAGAAACAGAAGACCCAGACACTATCATCACATTACTGGGCATACAACTTGAGTCGGCATCCATACATGCAAGTTACCACAAGACAAATAGGGAACATTCTCAACTACATCAATCACTACTTCCTGCTTAGTACTTACAACCGCAAGGAACTACAATCCCTACCAGGTTCCTTAAATTTTGCCATGCAAATCATACCACAAGACCACGCTTTCACAACCAGAGTACTTTCCCCTTTTTTCCACACTTCCAACATGACGATCAGAGGATGTCCCTAGACACCCCAACCACAGCAGACCTGCACATGGGGGGAATTTCTTAACCACTTGGCATGGTAAAAGCATGTTCCTTCCAGGATTGTCTGACACTTCTCCAACCAGATGGTCAGACGCGGTGTCAACCACGGGCTTGGCAGCGATCTACCGGGAACGATGGCTTTGGAGTTGTTGGCCATGGCATTCAGGTTTGGAACTTTTTCCACCACCTCAGCCCCTTTGGGGGATCTACCCCATTGTAGCAGCTGCTGTGGCATGGGGTAAATCATGGTCAGGGTCATCAATCCGTTGTTACTCAGACAACTAAGCACGTCATATCATCAACAAACGTCACTCATCATCCATACGATCATGATATTTCTGGGGAACTCACTTGGTTGGCCACTTATCACATTTATTTTACTTTCATGTACCAGGTGGGGGCATACATCCCTGCTGACAATTGTCTCATTTATATTCCAGGCATGTTCATCATACGCTTCCTACAGCCGCCCATACAGTCACGGCCACTCTTTCGTTCCAGAGACAAAATCATGGATTAGACATACTCATGCAGCATAGCATGCACTATCCCACCTAGCACTTTCGTCCCATACTTGTAGAATGCATAACACAGCTTTTCACCTGGCTTAAAGAATCTCATTGGAACACGACATAGCTCAAGCTGTGTCATAACATTTCTCCTAGGTTTTGCTTCTTTTTGCCATCTTAAACTGAAACTATCTCACACACCATTAAATACATATTTTACAGGCATTCAACACACAGGATAACCTATGGCCAAAACTACCATAACTTCATGCTATCCTACCAGACAATAATATACTCAGAGGTTTTCAGGAATCCATTCCCCCACGTTCCTCTCAGAGATTACCAATAGCCATGCAACTTTTCCATCCTTATCGGACCTATTAGATCTACAACCAATCATACTACCAAGTCGGCCATTACCAGCCATGCACACTGCCTTCTATGCCTTTCTCAGGCCAGAGAATCCACTACCATCACCACCATGTACGTAAACACATATATCATTATCTATTGGCTCTACCACATTCCGAAACGAGTCAACACGCACCAACAGTAGAGATAACAGACTATCCTACCCACAACAAATGGTGTCCAGTTGCGGTCCTAGATTCCTACCTTCAAAATCCTTCCAGGAATTAAATACCGTAATGCATTTAAGGAAATGTCTGGTTAATTTGTATATATTTGACTGTATTAAATCTTTGATTATTCATTTTTGCCCTCTTTATTTACAGGCCTACCGTATCGTCGGTCTTGGCACACCACAACTGACTTGCTACCTTTATACTATCCTATGCTTATGCTGGAACCTTACTTCATATACGGCTATTTGCCCCTTACACAAGTATTAAGGCCATTTGGCCTGTATTTGTGGGAGGGGCTTAAATTAATTCACTCCCCTATATAAGGGACACCCCTTATCTGACTCCATATCGCTTGAGGTCAGCATCAGAATGACCCTCCCACCCACTCCTCATTTCAACACTTTCTCTTTTCTTTCCATTTGCTTTACTTTCTTACTCCTTGGTGGGCCCTCTTTATTTACAGGCCTACCGTATCGTCGGTCTCGGCATACCACAACCGACTTGCTCCCTTTATACTATCCTATGCTTAAACCTTACTCCATATACGGCTATTTGCCCCTTACACAAATATATATATATATATATATATATATATATATTCCTTTCAGATATTCCTATTTTTTTTAATAAATGTTTTCTTCATTAAAAATTTTGAATGGGCATTTTGCTGTGAAATTTTTCAAATTTTATATATGAGTCATACAATTTAAGTATATGTTCTGTACTTACCCTGGTTTAACCTTAACAAAGTTCATATAATTTATTGTGTTCTCAAACTACGATTCAAACAAACTATGATAGACCTATAGAAAAATGTGAATTATCTAAAAGAAAATATATTAAATATATTCTAGTACTTAGTGTAGTTTGATAAATAGTAAATAATTTTGTTTCTACTCTTTTTTAAAATACTCTTTTCAAGACATGCACGATAAGAGAATCTGTTTCAGCTGAACAGTTTTTTCCAAAAATAGTTTTTTGGGGGACAGCCAAATTTAGGCTATATGGCAGTCGCCAGAATTTCACTGATGAAAAATTATTAATTGGATGTACTAAAAGAGCATGGAACTGATCCAGTATACTGCAAAATATATGCATAATATAAATATTATGTATATAATTTACAGTACACTGATAAGAGTATGTTCCAGCCATTTGGCTCACAGATCAAGTGAGAAAAGTGACCAGTAGAGGGGAAAAGGAGGAGCAATACTAAATCTATATTTAGATATCTTATATTTAGTAAATATATAGTATATTATCATATTTTTTTTACTGCTCCCCATATTTTTCCCTCTATTGCTCATTCACCACTTGATCTGTGAATAAAATCTAAACTTAGTGATTGTCCCCAACCATCCATCATCATTGTTTTGGCACCAAGGGCGTAACTCAAAATCACAAATCAAAACAAAGATGCTCATCCATTACACATTTTATTTGGTTCGTGATCTGGCAATATTTCAGCTCGGAGTTTAAGTTTATTTTGGGGGGTGGGGAGGTTTCACAGTAATATGAAAATAAGCAATAAAGATGTAAGAAAAAAATCTTCTGTGGACTTAAGCTCTCATTTGGGGAATTTATAAAACCAGGGAAAAAAACAATTATATGTTAGTGTTACGGCTTCCCCGGTCGGAGAGGGGTTACTGCCGTATAGAACGTCCCCTTACCGAATGCAGAGGTAGCTACTCAGCGCTCCAAATTGCCGAACAGCAATCACAAGAACCCGTTGGTCTCCAAAAACAGCCGAACAACGATCACACTAATCAGTCAGTCTCCCAAATAGTCGAACAAGCATAATCCATACAAATAATCCCCCCCAATGACGAGACAAAGCTCCGTATTGAGGGTCAGCAGGAATCTGTTTTACTGAGGGCTACCTGCCTGGTATTTATGCAGGTGTCCCACCTGGTGGACACTCCCCGAGGGGACCAGATAGGAGACTGTGACAAGGACATTACAACAACCAATCACAGTGTTCCACATGTAGCCATGCCCCTTTAATTACCCAAGACCCTCTGCTCTGTCCGGGAGATAATTGTGAAGTATTTCAATTATCTCCCTGGACAGAGACCAAACGCCATTTTAAATTATATATACTATAACAAAATGCATAAAAATATATAACTTTACAATAACTGGTCATAATGCAGGCATTCAATGTGTCCCCAGATAGCATAGCTGGGATCTGAGCACACAAAAGTACCGAACAGCGCTCAGATCCTATGCACACAGTCCAATCGCCGTGGAGTCAAAGTGTTCACAAAGTCTGTTCTCCATACGAATAGACTCCATGGGATGGAGGTATGGCTGGGGTATGGCTTATTCGTGGACAAAATACTGAATACAGGGATTTTCAGGAGTTCTCTACCGAAGGAGAAGGGAGGTCGGTGGCTTCAGCGGTGTTCGGGCCAAAAAGTGTCCTTTTTGAGTTCCATTTTTTTTTTTTAATGTCGAACACCGCTGAGCGTTCGCGGATTTAAAATGGCCGCGACCTCGTGTTCGGGATACGAATGGCGGCCACCCAACTACAGGCATCAATTAAAAGGTGTCTGCGGTTAACCTCAACGTTTGAATGGGGCCAAGAGGTTAACCAGCAGCACACTTCTCTACTGGGTGGCCGGACGATCGAGAGTTTTATTCGGTAGTAAAAAAAAAAGGGAATGGTATAGAGTCCACATGAACGGGAAACTTGCATTAAACCAGCGAATGAATGATACATCTCTGTAAGTTTAAGACAGAGGGATCTGTCACGGTTAGGTTAACTTTCCACAATGAAATCAGAAATGACAGTGACTGGGAAGATTTTAACACATGAATTGGGTTATATATGGCTATAGTTTGTTAAAATCTATTCACTTCCCCACTCTGATGCTCAAAAATGTAAATGTTTGTAAAACTATGTTCATAATTTAATAATATCTAAAAAAATTTTATAAAATAGCAATATATTATTTAAGGTTTTTGTTTCTACTGTAAGGAGTGTTAATTAAATAATTATTAAATAAACAATTGCCAAGGTAATACAATTCCTTAAATAACACTAAGCGAGGTAAGAGATCATCATCATTGCTCAATCTACAAAGATCAACAAGTCATTTCTGAGCAAATCCCCGCTATTTCATTGATTGTGCAATCAGTCCCTTTGTAATATGAAATAAAAGACATATGCCAGAGGCAGCTGTCTCTACAGCTGGTTGGAGCTTTAAAAATTGATGATTTTACATCAGTAGAGATGACGTTTCCTCACAGTTGCTATTAAAAAAAAAAAATAGGTCAAAAAAACCTACATTTGCATTCTTTGAAGAGAAAAAATCTGAAAGGCATATTATTATTATGGATAACAATGACTGAATTCTGGGCTATGTTGTATGCATGAGATTGTGTCCCTGAAGAAGTGTGGAAACTCAATATAATATTATCAGGTTTATTCACAAACCAGTGAAGGAATTGAGACAAGCTGGAATGTTTTTTATCTATCTATCTATCTATCTATCTACCAATGTGTAGCATGAATGTAGATACTTTGAAATACCAATGTGATTAAATTTAGGAGGGATTTTGATAAATATCCAAGATACTCAATTATTAAAATAAGCACTGGAGAAAATCCTCATGAATGCAATCGGATGGATGGATGGAGAGGAGAAGAGGGGAAGACAGGGTGAGGAGGTGAGGGGGAGAGGGAGAGACGGGGAAAGGGGGACAGGGAGAGAGAAAAAAAAAAAACTTGGGGATGTCTCCAGAACCCAGAGACAGCTAATTGATGTTGTTTTGTTATTTTACAAATGTTAGCGCCAGTGCCTTATATGAATGAAGGGAAGCCTCTAGACTCATATATGTAACTTATCCTTTACTCTAAAGCAAATGGAAACTAGATAAGAGGGGTACTACTGAATTTCCTTTGACCAATTTGGGGTTCTGCAGCAGTCTGATCTTTTTTTATGGGACCACCTGCTTCACGTTGTGTATGGGCAAGAAAGCCATGCCACCTTCGTGGGAATTATGAGAGGACCAACTAGGTTTAGGTTATGTTTCTGGGCAGGATTACAGCTACACAGATTAAATGTTTTGCTAACGGTGTATGCAAAAATCAGGCTATGCATATGCATATATAATAGCCACAGTAAACATATGCTATTTTTACCATTTTGAGTGACAGATTAATATCCAGTGCCTATCTTTGCAATGAGCTAGGGACACCACACTGGCATTCATAGATTGAAATTATTTGCTGGCCATTGACTTTAATTAACCCCTTAAGGACTGGACTGTTTTTGCGATGTTGTACATTTGCGACCAGGCATATTTTTACACTTTTGTGGTGTTTGTGTTTGGCTGTAATTTTCCGCTTTCTCATTTACTGTTCCCATACAAATTATATATTGTTTTTTTCAGGACAAAAGGGGCTTTCTTTACATACCATTATTTATATAATCTCATGTATTTTAATTTAAAAAAAATACAAAAATCTGATGAAAAATTTTAAAAAATACATGTTTTTTTACTTTTACTTGAAAAATCTTTTACTCATCTACAAAAGCGAATGAAAAAAACTGCTAAATAGATTCCAAATTTTGTCCTGAGTTTAAAAATACCTAGTGTTTACGTGCTTTTTTGCTTTTTTTTGCATGTTATAGGGCTATAGGTACAAGTAGGATATTGCGGTTTCAAAACATACATTTTTAAAATTTATCAATAGTGACATTGTAACACTATTATCTGTCATAAATCTCTGAATAACACGCCACATGTACATATTTTTTTTAAAGTAGACAACCCAGGGTATTCAATATGGGGTATGTCCAGTCTTTTTTAGTAGCCACTTAGTCGAAAACACTGGCCAAAGTAAGCATTCATATTTGTTTGTGTGTGAAAAAAGTAAAAAAACGAAATTGAACGCTAATTTTGGCCAGTGTTTGTGACTAAGTGGTTACTAAAAAAGACTGGACATACCCCATTTGCAATACCTTGGGTTGTCTTCTTTTGCAAATGGTATGCCATCATGGGGGTAATTCTCATTCCTGGGCTACCATACGCTCTCAAAGGCAACGTAACCAACCTGGCCATTTTCAATGTAAAAATATTTGACCCATATATTTGACCTTGTAACTTTCAAAAATGCTATAAAACCTGTACATGGGGGGTACTGTTTTACTCGGGAGACATCGCTGAACACAAATATTAGTGTTTAAAAACTGGAAAACGTATCACAAC